GTAGAAACTTTAGCTACTGTTTTGTTTGTAGTAACTTTAGCTACTGTTTTGATTGTAGTAACTTTAGCTACTGTTTTGTCTGTAGTAACTTTAGCTACTGTTTTGTCTGTAGTAACTTTAGCTACTGTTTTGTCTGTAGTAACTTTAGCTAGCATTCTTTAGCTTTAACCCTTTCTGCTCCGGACCAGAACCAGCTCCAACCCACCGTGACGTTCCACTTCCTCCAGTAGCCTCCGGCTCCTCTGAAGGTGGGCACGCCGCTCTCGGCACTCACCCCGGCGCCGGTGATGATGGCGATGTTGTTGGCTTTGGAGAAGATCTCCCGGAACGCCGCCATGTCTGAACACAAACAAACAAACCAACAAACCAACAAACAAACAAACAAACAAACAAACAAACAAACAAACAAACAAACAAACAAACAGGTGAATTGAAATAACTAGAACCATAAATTAACAAAAAAAAAACAGGCTGTTTACCTGAACTGGGTCGGGACATGTTCTGGATACACCTCAGCTCTCTCAGGTGAGTGTTCAGAGAAGCTCTACAGGTGAACTGACGCACGATCATCAGGTCTTAGACTGGGAAACCTCCTCCTTTGAYACTTTAATAAATAGCAGCATGCTGCGTTCAATGACACACTACTGGCTCGGATTTTTTTACCTGTCAAATGACAAACTAAAAATAAGTTTCGTTTTTTTTTTCCTTCAGCTGTAATCTCAGGTAAATTTTATATTTTTCCACAGTGAATTCAATTCCTCAGACAGTTATTTAAATAAAAACGTGTTAACGTTTTATTTGTGTTACTATCGATTTGCTGAAATACCATTAAAATATCTTCCGAGACTAATATTTCCCACGTAAACGGACTAAAAGGTCCATTAAGATGTGATGTTCCGATAAAATGAAGCAACATTTATTATCTACTTTAAAAAAGGTCAAACAGCTTTCTTTTTAAAGTCAGAATAATAAATTACGACGCGCCTCAAACGCAGCAAACAACTGTGCTGCTAAAGCCATGAACCACGCGCTGTGGCTGTAAGCTAGCGAACCGTCACTCTCTTCCATGAAATATATTAAGCGTTGTTGTTTTACCTGCGGATCCCACCTGTCGAACCAGAACCAGAACCAGAACCACCAGCTGCAGAAGCAGGAAGTCGGGATGTTTTCTTGCACCGGATTGGATCAGCCAAACGAACAGGAGCCAATCAACAAGAGCGTCTGGGTTGCCAGGTAGGAAATGCGATTAAAAACTAGACCTGTTTGAGTTCAGGTAAATAAAAACCAGTCATTTTTTGATTAACATAAAAGCTAAAACTGTTATATGTTTGGTCTTTTTATAAAGCATCTGTTATACATTTAAATACTCTAAACCCATCATATAAATATGGTTAAAATTGTTTATTACTGTTTATAATCGTTTTAACTGTAATTCTAACTATGTCCTGTTGTGTCTGTTTACTCTACAGCACTTTGGCTGGTCTTGTGCTCTTTAAAATGGTTTGTTGTTCTTTATCTGGCAACACTTTAAACGAAGACTCCTCTCATCACCAGCAGGTGGCGATGTTTCAACACGTTTACACTGAGAGCTTTATTCATTTTAATGCAACTTATAAAATAACTGATTTACTTTTGAAACGTTTAAAAAAACAACAGATTTAAAAAAAAAAGGAAATTATTATGATTAAAACCTGACTTTTGGATTAATAATATCAATGAAGAGTTGAATATATTGGTTCAMACGGGACGTTCAGGTGCATCAGTTCAGTAAATGATGCGTTTACGGACCGTTCTTTCGCCAGAACACCCCCCACCCCCACTCCCTCCTCCCCCGCGCGCACCGCCTCCTCGGGCGCGTGCACGACCGACTGGCTGCTGCTGCGGCGCCGCGTCTCTCGCCTCTCCCGGCTCCTTGGCCCCCCCGAACATGGCGGCGGCCCCGGAGGAGGAGGAGGTGGACCGCAGACCGATCCGGAGGGTCCGGTCCAAGAGCGACACMCCTTACATCAACGAGGCCCGGATCTCTCTGCACCTGGAGACAGGTAGGGGTGCGCGGGGGGGCATCGCGCGTGCTCCCTCTCTCCCTCCCTCTCCCCCGCAGCGTCGGTTCTGGACGCGGTTCTCGTGGGTCCTGGTGGTGCAGGGATGATGGAGGTGATGGTGAAGGAGGGACGGAGCCTCGCGCGGCGGGGACACGCTGCGTGAAGTCGCGATGAAATAAATAAATAATAATAATCATACATAAAATGCGCGTGCGGGAATTTGGAGTGGACCCAAAACCCGTCCCGAGGTTCGGTTCGGTCGGCCCGCAGACAAACAAGAGAATGCAAGTTTCCTTTGTTACCATGGTCACGGCGGCACGCCTGTTTCATCCGCATCCTCCCGCTTCAGCTGCTGCACGTGAGAAGCGCGCGCGTGGCTGCAGGAGGGTTCTGCCGAACCGGGAGAGCCCAGAACCATCATCATCATCATCATCATCCAGGTTTTGTTTATTTATTTATTTATTTATTTATTTATTGTCCTGCAGGGTGCTGCTCAGGTGACCTGTCACGTGACTCACTCACCTCACTGAAGTGCTCATCTCCCGCCACGCTCAGAGCGCGTGCTGGGATCACTCTCAGTCTCAGCTACTACCAGGTCCAGTTTGACCCCAGCACTTATAGCTGCGGCGGCCATCTTGACTCGGATCCACTCAGCAAATTAATGAAGGATTCAGTCAGCCCAGTGATGAACAGAGAGCGACTCTCGGCTGCTAACACGCCAAACTTTAGCTGAATGTCTGTAAACACGGCTGAATTTAAACCAGTTAAGATCAGTTAGTTCAGACAGACGTCTTGAATCAGTTCAGTGGTTCATCGGATATTTTACTAACAGAGAGAAGTTACAGCAGAATCCTTCAGCTGCCATGAACAGCTCCCTGATTCCTGTTTTTATTCAGCTGCTCTCAGGAAGATCAGCCAAACCTCCTCTCCAGTGCTAAAGCTACAGGAAACAACAAAAGGAGGCTCAAATGTTTGAAGCAGAAC